GGGGGGGGGGGGGGGGGAAAGAAAGCCCTTTATATAAAGCTGGGTGTGCACACGTGCTTAACAGGAGTGCACTTGTTAATGAGCAGCTACTGAGTGCTGCTTCCCAGTGTCCCCGGGGCTTAGTTGGTTAACATTGTATTTCCTGTAACTTAATTGTGTTCCCCTCCTCAACCCCGTCCCTCTTATGTTAATCCCTCATTCAGGCACTCTGTATTTCCCTTATGGCTTTGTCACTTTTGTTTCACGACCAAGGAGAGAACAAAAACGGCCAAGGAGAAATGCTGGACGTTTCATACTCTCATTACCTTTCTTCGAAAAGGGAGCTTGTCACACAGAATTTTGCCCTGTTTCCTGTCGCATGTATTCCAAAACTTCATGCCACCATTTCACATGAGAGGAAAAACTAGAGAATTCAACCTACGAAACTGAAAATGACCTTGTTTGTCAATATGGGGCACTTACAGGGTTTAAACTTGGTGCAAATGGCTGTATTTTAAAATATATAAACTGGGGAGCAGTGTGCTGTATGAGGTGCAGGGGAGATTCAGGGGGATGCTTAATACTCTTCAAATCCTGTTCACATCTATGAGTTTAGCACTTGAAACTCTGAGTAGGGTTAGAGTTAATGTGGGTTGTACAACTAACTCTTCCTATTGTGATGTTAAAGGATTTCAGTCACGTTCAACATTAACAACAGCATTCCACCAGTGACTGACGAAGAGCCCGAAGAAGGACAGAAAGCTGATGAACAGGAGGTAAACCTACAGCCTCTGTGTTCCCTTTGAGTTAGTACACTGTAGGGAAGTCGGGTTATTGCCCAGTTGTGTTTGGGCAGACACTGTTAACTTGATCTTCAGAACACAAAAATGCTCAATGCTGGCATAATGCAGATTTTATTACTTTATTTTTTTTCCATTACTACAGTAGCAAAAGCAGGGGGAAGCTTTTGGCCAGTTGGCATAATCTCTGCCAGGGCAGGAGGAATTTTTATAGCTGCAAGTGAAGGTGGTTGATCTTACAGCTGCCTTCCCTTCCCTTCCTGCTGTAATGAAGGCCAGGTCTGTGGTAGGAGCTCCTTGCTACTGTGCTGTAGAGCAAAAAGAGCCTGGTGCGGCCCCCCCACTGCCCATGAGTCGTATCAGGGAGAGCTCAGTGCTATGAGCTGCGTTTACACCACGCTACAGCTGCGTACTAGTCTGGCGGTAGTAGTCGGGGATCACATCTCTTCATGTCTGGCTGATATCAACGGCACTAAAAACGTGCAGTGCACACAAAAACTTAAATGGCTTGATCCTTGATCTTTTACAAGGTCACTGACTTCCAGCAGTTGGTTACAGGGGAGAGTGGAGTCAGTGTATGGTATTGGTAATTGTTTAAGTGGCCAGTGTGGTTTGTGGCAGCCAACTCGCTTCTCCCTGAGCACTTAAATTAGAAGTTTGAGAAGGAATCTGGGTATGGATGCACAAACGTTGCTTGTAGTGGTTAGCTCATGGACTGTCTGTTTTCCATTGAAAAATAACTAGTTCCGTAGCACTATAAGCTGCCTGCTTTAAGTGAGCTCCAGTGCTGATGTGATCTTCTTACTTCCCACAGTCCGAACTTACATCAGCTCCCAACTTTGTTGTAGAAGTGACGAAAGATGACACAAAGAACACCCTTGTGCTTGACTGCCACTTCCCTGAAGATGAGGTGGGTACTGTAAAAGGGGGCTGTGAGCCCTTGCTAACTATGGGTGACGGCTCAGTGCTTCACGCTGTGGCATGGTCCATCTAATGTCCATTTCTCTTGTTTAGTTAGATGGTCATGTTCAGGGTACCAATTCCAGTGATCAACTATCCAGCCACCCAGTGCAGTGTAATTTGCAAAGCAGGGATGGCCCGCACTTCTACCTGTGTGCTGACCTCACTTCCTGAATCATGGCAACTGCTTTTCCTGAATAGGCTTGGAGGCAGGAAGAAAGTAGCAATTGTTAGCAGCATACTTGGAGCACAGTCCAAAAAGAAGTAACTGAAAATTGATAAAAGGATATAATTTATTATATCATGTAACTCATGCATATAATTAATTTGCAGAACTCACTGCCCTTAAGAGCAAAGGCACCGTAGGTTTTGAAAATGAAGTAGACACAACAGTGGGGTTCTCACTGCTGCATTAGGTTGCTGGTTTTCTTTAACTGTAACAAAATCTTGGGGGGAATATAAACCCTCCTGCTTTAAGGTATAACCAATATCTGGTTGACAAAGGTTGGGAAGAAATATCTCCACTGGGCAGGCTTTTTCATGATCGTCCATTAGAATTTTTTCCATTTTCTGATGGACTGGCAGGCTGTACTGGTATGGCAGTACCTGTGTCCTCTGTGAACTTGTTTCTGCCCTTACAAAGCACATGTTTGAGGAGGGAGAAAGGGGGGTTTATGTGGGCCCTACAGCTTTTGCCAGCTGGGTTGTGTTCATGAATTCAGAATGCAGAGGTTGAAGATACTCTTCAGTATGAACGGTTATGCTTCACTAGATCTCATTTTGTTTCTTAGACTGGAAATGAGGGAGAGGAGGAGAGCGACATTTTTGCAGTTCAGGAGGTCAGCTTTCAGCCCACTGGAGAATCAGATTGGAAGGAAACCAACTTCACTCTCAACACAGACTCTCTCGACTGGGTAGGTTCTGCTAAACCCCTGCACTACTCTAGCCTCTTTGTGACCCAGAGAACAATTTAAGAATCAAGCAAAAATATTAGCATAGTCTTGATGAATCACAAGCAGAAGTCGAAGATCAGATCTTTCACTAATTGAGACTCTCAAAGAATAAAATGAGGAATAAAAAGTTCCCCAGCCTTTAAACTATGTCCCGTTGACCCAGTTTGTAGTCCAGACTGGAGAACAGGTCTGTATTCTTGCAGCATACCTGCCTGATCCAGTGGTTGGTCGAGCTGCCCTAGCAGCTCTGGTAGTGTACCACATACAGTACCTGCTCCTGCCAGTCCAGGACCTATGCTCCACACAGCGCCTGTGAGTGCAAGATGTGTGGGTCCCAGACTGGCTGGAGCAGGCACTGTGCAGCACACATTCTGGCCACTCCTCAATCCACACTGCATGCTGCATGGGTCCTAGACCAGCTTGGAGCTGTTGGGGTAAAAGGGCTGGGGGTCTGTGGGCCAGATTCAGCTTGCAGACTGGCCTTGCAGCCTAGGTACAAGCTGTGCCCTCTGTGGGCCTGTAGGGGCCCAGATGGTAGGGTTCCACAACCCAGATTCAGTCTATAGGCTATTTGTTTGATACCCTAGTACTCTAGGATCAAGGTCTGATTTAAGAACTGTGGCTGTCAGGGTGGAATAGACCAGAAAACAAATGGGGCAAAAGAGTAAAATGCTAATAGTTTGTGGTGTTAAACAGTCGGGCAAAGGAAGGCCATCTGCATTCACGGCTGGCAACTGCTGCTCACTGGGGGGGAAATGTACCCACTAGTGCCTTAGAACTGTACACATCTGAAGCACTTCAAAAACAAACGAACAAAAAAATCATTTATAGGAATTAGACTGCCTGACTTTGGAAAGAACTGAGCAGGTGCTTACATTTGAGGCTAGTCTGCCTGCCTTTTCAGCTAGGTGGTATTAAGGTAACTTGAGCATTAAAGAGGGGTTGGAGGAGAGGGTCACTTCATACAGAGCAGTGAACTGACTTGATCTCCTGGCCCTAATTGCTGCCAGATCCCACCCAGCAATGTTGCCGTTTCAGACCATGGCTTTCTATTTGTGGTCTTGTCCCTATTTTTACGCCCAAGACTCAAAGGGGGTTGTTACGGTAATCGATGAAGAGAAGATTGGTGATTCTATTCTCCTTTGGGGAAAGGGACACCCATGTCCAGAGAAATACAAAGTGGCTGTGGACACATTTTTTTTTGTGTGTGTGTCTCAGAACAAATTGGATTATTGTACCTGTTGTAATTCCTTGCAGGCTCTGTATGACCATTTAATGGATTTCCTGGCTGATCGTGGAGTGGACAACACATTTGCTGACGAGTTAATTGAGCTCAGCACAGCACTGGAACACCAGGAGTATATTAAGTTTCTTGAAGACCTTAAAGGTTTTGTCACGTGTCAGTAGATTTAAAAAACTGAAGTCAAAAGTCCTCAGATGTGGGTATGCTTTCACTGGCAAGAGCTGAATAGCTTGACATCAGATACCAACAGTAAGTTTAACTATGAAAGATATATCATGGAAAAAGATAATTATCTAACTCCTTTCAATAACTGTATTTCAGATGTAATTTATGTTGCGAGCCAAAGTTCAGTTTTGCATCATTCTTGCTGGTGATTACCTCTCACTACTTCTGCTTGTTTTGTACACTTAAGAAGTAAAGATGCGATGATATGAAGAATAAAACTTCTTCAACATGTCAGTATGGAATAGCATTCTTTTTCTTGTTTTCTCACTTATCAAGGAGTAGCATGAATTGTCTGACTGGCATGATTTTGTTAGAGAAACTCACTGGGAGGTCTTAGGCCTTTTTGTGGATGATGAGGAGGAAAAAAGTTGGGCTTTAAAGTTTAAAGGCTTGGAAGTGTTCTGTTTCATGGCAGTGTGTTCCTCAGTTAAGCTGTTCTTAACTAATGTTGAAGTAGTATAGGTGGCTTCGAAAGGGGATTGGAGACAAGGTGGGAAGCATTTCATCTCTAGGCATACCAATGTCTGAAAGTCATTGCCACCTGGAGGCAGTGCTGATCTATTATGAACAGATTGTTTTCTAATGAACAGAATGCCACATCTGTCATGATCCCTGTTAGCAAAGCCCTGCAGGGAGGAGGTGCCCCTCCTATTTCTGCTAACTATGTAAAACCCACTGAAGTGTCCTGGGATAGCTTTTATTAATAAGATGCTAACTGGATTTATTTGAATGACTCACTGAAAAGAAATGAAGGTGGGCCAGACTAAGCTGACTTGGAATAGTAATCCGATGCATCCTTAAATGAAAGCACTTCCTTGTGTAGCACCAATCATTTCCCTGTTGCTACTCAGCAGCTTGCCAGTGCCTGCATTTTATTCTGGCAGAACTGATTTTCACTTCGTCAGTCAATTCAGCTACTGGAGTCCCTAATGCTTCATTCAGTGTACTGACTTACATTTATGCACTCATTTGCTAATTACTAATTTCTCATCACCTGCTTGCAGCAGAGATCAGCAGCTTTTGCTTTTAAGACAGAACAGGCACCTGCCTGAAAGACAAAGTGACTAGTTACATTAGCAGGGGTCTTTGCTCACCTGACAGGAGCTGCTAGATTTTAATACAGTGAGCCCATGTATATAATCAATTCTGTCTGCTCCTGCATCATCCAGCAAGTCAGTCCGTGAGCCAATTTTCTCTGCGCAGGGACCGAACTACTGTCTTTCTCTGTTTTGTTCAGGTATGAGACTGCCTTGAGCTTTTGATCACTTCCATTAGCCTCTTCACTTTTCTCCATGTTAAAAATGGACTGAAGCACTTACAGTATGTCAACTATGCCTGGTCTAATAACTCCCAGAGAGGTATATTAAACCCTCTGGTCCACCCTTGGGCTTGTTTGAGTTTTCATAGACATAGTTATTAGAGCTGCCAAAAAAAACCCAAACCCTTTGCCTGTTGTTTTATGCAGTGTCTGGAGGCTGAAGTACCTGTGTATACCTCATGTTTCACTCGCTCAATGCAGAATGAAAACTGTTGGGTCATAATTGAAGAATTCAAGGCATAGATGCATCTTTAGTTTGAAATACCCTGACTAGGCCAAACAGGCTGTTGTGCTGTTATACAGGTGATCCTGAAAATTGATCTCATTTCTCAGTGTTCACTTTTGTATCATTAAATTGAAGTAGACCTGCCTATGACTTCAACACACTAGATAGTGACACTGCCTTACATTCTTTCTAATACCTCCTATGTTGCAGCTGAAGTCAGTTCCTAAACATGCTTGCCTTAAAGGCAGCAAGAAAGGGTAATTCCACTACATAACACTTGCTGTTCCTTTATGCATTTTTTTTTTTTTGCCTTAAAACTGAAGTGGGTAAAAGCTACACAATGGCACTTACTCATGCAGCTGTCGTCACAGAAATCCAGTTACTAGGAATTATCATAACGAGGTCTTCCAGCAACTGGTGCTACCCATGGGCCAGTTTGTACCCTTCCTTGGGTACTGACTCAGGTTGCATAACCATCACTAAGACCACAGTTTGGTCCCATTAAAAAAAAGCAACTTGTTTGTAAGTTGTCAGCCACATCCAAACCCCTGTTCTAAGATGACAAGACTAAAGGTCACTTACAGGGCTTCAGGTACCATGAAAGGAAAAGATGCAACTTGCTAAGAGTGCAGTGCTCCTTCATTCTTGTAGTGTAAAGTGATCAAAAAGTCCAGCAGTGGTTGTGTTATCCAAGGCTAGCTACTTACAAGAAAAAGTCTGACATGTGCACCTCACCACACAAACATCCCATCTTATTTCAAAATATTTATTTTATCAAAAGTGCAGTGCAACATAAGCCAAGAAACAGTGCTTTGTCAGGTATCAGTCACAATTCTATGCATTAAAAATATGTATGAGGCATCATCCACCTGAAGAAGTCCTCAGAATGGTTTACCTTGCTGGCACGTTTGGTCCATGAAGACCAGCTGAATCTATTACAGGATGACTGTCCAGGAATCGCAGATCTTTGGGAGATAAGAATTGCAAGTCTATTAGATTCACAGGCTGCCCAGAAGCAATTTGAATGAAGTCAAATGCCACTCCAATTTGTAATGCAACTTGCAATCAATAGATGTGAACAGCAAGCCCAAAGGTTAGAAGCTACTAGCTAGCTCTGGTTTGTCTTAAGTGTCACCTGCTACTTGAACAGTACCTCATCCCTAAAGAAGAGCTATTGTGTGGATTTCTGCTTGGGATTTAGAGGAATTTCTTTTGGAGTCTTTCAATTAAAGAGCATTTTTTTGGATTTAAACATTTCTCTGTGCACTTAGCTGAGGAAAAGGCCATGACCTGTAACCTACACATTTCCAAAGTGAAGTTGTGCTGCTTTTCTCCCTTACAAGTCTATAAGTGCAATCATTTACAGGGTTTTATGTGGTCTGTGTAAATGAGATGATCTTCCTCACTTGGGCTTCCCAGGGGCATGGCTGTCATTTTGACTCACCAGACAGCTCATGAGAAGGCTGGCTTCTTCCTCCATTCCGCTAGTAATGGAAAACTCAGGATTGTGAAGACAGTGATGGCCATGCTCTGTTAAACTGTCTTCTAGAAGTGATCGGAGCTTCTGTTCTGTCATATCCTAAAACAAATAATTCTTCAAGTTATCTTGAAGGCACAAGATGAATGGCTTATAGTTCAGTTACCTTGGGTGGGTTTGCTACAACTGGGCAAACTAGCAGCATTGCTGATTTTTCTCTTGGCGCACACTGTATGATTCGTTTGGGGATTCGAAGATTTACATTGTATTTCTACTTTTTGCTTATGGCAGAGAGGGAACATGCAGGCACATATCTGTTCCCAGTCCTGTATAGCTTGCTGCTCCATTCTATGGGCCCCAAAGAGGCCATAGCTTGAGAACCACAGCTCTGAGTACCCATCTCTTCATCACATACAGCAAAAGTCACTGAGATTCCTTGTGTGCAAGTGTGACTGCACTACATCAGCCTCACTCAAACAGGAGCTGGCTAGGTAGGGGTGGCTATGCTATGAACTCCCAGGAGTTGCATAACATCTGAATTTTGCCATACCTTTGTGCAGATGTGTAATCCACACTGGCATAAAACCAAGTGACTCGTCACAGTCAGGTCATTCCTAGAAACAGGACATAGTGAGTGCCTGGACAGAGACAGCTAGAAAAGTTGAGGAAGAAGATAAGGAATTTCAGCAAAATTAAAGTTAAGTACCATACAACATTGCTCGCAGTAGGAGTCTTGTAGCAACTGAAAGCCTTAGAAAAACAGGTCTGCTTTTTAACCGACACAATTTTTATGCAACAGGGGCCAAAATGTCTCTACCAGGAGACAAGTAGGTGAACTCACTGCAATTCCTCTTGACCTCTTGTGGCACGCACCACGGTATTTCAGGGAATGGCATGGAAGAGGTGCATATGCCCGTCACACCAGAGATAAGATGCCTGTTGTTTAAGCTATCAGGCAGCATAGTTGCTCAATGTCTATTGAGTTCCACAGCAGAAGTAGCTAGCTGCACTCCGCTTGTAGCTGACCCATGTATCTCTTAGCTATAAAACAGCACAAATTAAACTTAATGCTGTCAGCTGCAGTTAGAGTATGCTCAGGCTTTTGACAGCCTCACATAAGTGGGTGAATTCAGGAGGTTCACTAGTTCACAAGGACCTACTTAACACATTCTACCCAGATCTACCTCACCTTTTACACACGGGACAGATAACCTTGCTCCCTGCATCCAGGCCATCAAGCATTGCGTTGAGACATTTTTCATCAAACTGCAAACTCTGTTCATATTCTCTTATGGTTAACTGTTCTGTAACAGAAAGCACAGCTGTCAGCAGTCAAGAGACATTTTGACAAAGAGGAAGCTGTCACGCATTGCAATAATAGCCATCACACATGGTGAGATCTGAGCTGGTTGCTATTTGTAGCTTGTTCTTTAGATCAACCTCAAAACAACAAGGGGATTCTGACTGTTTTAAGTATTTATTCATGAGACCGAATGAAAGCCTTTAGCTGGACCTATCCTGTGCGTGTGTAGCACCGGCCATTCAAGGATCAGAGAGTGCTTCACTAGTGTTGTTGGGCTAAGTCTGGATTTCAGTCCTGTGTGCTCTCATCTGAGACTACAATATAAAGCCAGAGAGCACTTGCTGTGTGCAGCTGGGACTTGGTCAGGTGGTCGAGTCTGTACTCGTCTTTTACTCTTCTCAGGGAGAAGAGTAAAAGGAGCTTCCAACCCGTGAAAGGGAGTGAGAAGTCTTGCTGAGAGTCCAAGCCTTTGCTGTCCATCAGCCTCTTATCCATCCAGACTGAACTCTGCTGTTTTTGGAATGGTCACTTAGGACAGCTTTCCAATCAGGTGATCTACAAGACCCAAGGAAATAATCCAGCTTTAAACAAACAGATGGTTTAAAGCCATGGCCCCAATTATGATTCACTGGGCATTCCTGTCAGTAATGAAATACATGCATTGAAAAGCTACCTTGAAAGATCAGCTCTTGTTGGATTTCCTCCAGCACGGCTAATTCATCAGGGTCCTCCAACATCTGAAATATACGTCAGTCAATATTCCTCCTTCTAGGGCAAGCGGGGAGTGTTATTTCACAACATCTGCAAAAATTAGCATGTTAGCACCTGACAGCCCAGTGCAATCAAATCAGTCAACCTATTCCACTGCCTGTGCACTTACGGAGTGGAAATCATCAGGACTTCCCTTGTGCACTCCCAGCAAGCAAACATTTACAAGTGGTACAAACTTCACTGTTCATATGACATTGGTGTCTGTGTAAGAGCACACAAGAGCAACTAGTTCCTCTTTCTCACCCTTTAAAAAGTCTAGCATTTCAGGTGCACTTTTAGTGGTGACACTCGTATGGGACTGTGGTCTTTAAAAAAAACAAGGATAAGAGAGACCAGAATCAAGATTGACCCGCAGCTGCTGAAAGTAATAGGCCATTTCCCGGATGTTAGCAATTGCACCTAAGGTTGGGTGAGCTCTGAAGTTCTGAGCTGGGCACATCCTGATCAGCCAGATGTCCTGAGACCCTCTCAGCAGGACTCTGTTACAACTCCACAGCTTTTCCGGAGAGCAGGGAACTTGGCGATTGCTACACATAGCAACAGCTCTACGTGAGGCTGGAGGTGGAAAGTCTGAGGGCTGCGTCTCTGCTACCCTGAGACAGCTTTCGATTAGCAGGCAGAAGCCCAAGAACCACAGAAGTGAGCTCTGAAGCTGACACCGCAACAGCCGAGGACCTTGCGTGTGACAGGAACGGCGGCCGGTCTTGGTCGAAAGAGCCAAGAAACACGTAAAGGTTTAGTCTCTTAGTAAAGGTCCCCTGGTGAGGGGTGGCAAGGCAGCCTGTACGCGTTAGACAGGGGGAACCTGGGATGCCTCAACGCCCCTCCTGCCGCTCGGCCCCGCTGACCTGTGACAGCTCCTCCTTTCCGTGGAGCGACGGCGGCCCAGTCCCCGCCGAGCGCAA